TGAATAGGTCTGCTCAAAGGCGGGCTTCCAACTTCTGATGAGCTTTCCATAAACATGGAGGTTGCTGCAGCAGCGGAAGCAAGCTCTGCACTTAAGGTGGAAGATGATGAGGAAAGCCGACGCCAGGATGGCCGTCTCTGGGATTCTACCTGCAAATTGTCAAGATGATTCCCTTGGTGGGAGAGAAAACGCTTGAGAATTGTCACTCCCTCGCACTCTGGGCAATGACCTTCCTAGAAAAAGAGATAAAACAAAGAACTACGTAAACTAAGAATAGAGGACTTTAAGGAGGCATTCTGTGTTATTGTAACACTAGAATGATAAAACGATGCTTGCTGACCAATCTACAGGTATGCACCTGGTTTATTCTCCAAATGAGAAGTAAGGCAGTGACCAAAGTCAAAGCTCATATTTCTTCTGCATGTGCCTACGCAATCGCATCTCATCCTTCCAAGCAGAACCCCCACCTAATCTACCATCGATCTCGTTATCCCTCTCACATTTTCTGCTGTGTGCAAGTTTGAGAAAAAAGGCATTAGGATAGGGATATTATTGATTAAAAAACACCCCATTAGAAAGATCATACATTATATTAAAGTTCTTAATGTACGCTACACAGACAAACAATCCAGATGAATGCCAAGGGTAAAAGGGATATCGAATTTTGTTTAACTTTGCAATGATAATAAACTGTAAAAGTAAGCAAGGCGCGCATTTTCACTTGAGTGCTTTGAAGACAATTGTAGAAAATTTTGAAACGATTGTTCATTTTTCATAACGATTGTAACAGCAAGTCAATGCAGCATTCAAATAGTTTCACTGACTCCCGCCCCCCCCCCACCCCCACCCCCTCAATGGAGAAATATCAGCCAAAAGTAGCCTAAATTCAGGTGATACAAAAGTGCAATAGTACAGAGTTGCGCAAAAGTAATTCGGCGCGATGCGTATGGAATAGTTGACTCTACTTAGAGAGAATAGAATTTCAATATTAACATAGGCGCAAACACATGAGTTCCGAATCTTGCCAAGGAAAAAGGTTATTAAACCATCATATGTAAAGTTAGCATTCTCCATATTCGACACATGGGATGCGCGATAGATTTACTTCCACGTGGTGCACCCCGGGCAACGTATACTCATGCGTCAATAAAGTCTATTAACCCGCAGTTGACTTCAAACTATCATGACCCGACTGTATTTCATATTCCACCACGTCTACAGTACTCTCCTTGCCTCTTCATCTACCTTTGTGTCTCTGTGAATCACTCTTCTGACCCCTCCCCGTCGACATTTGTGACTTTGTCTGTTCCTTCGCTCTGTGAAGCCCGAAGTCAATTTTAGGGCTAGCGATAACTATCATAAAGCCTGCCATTTGACAGGTAGCTATATAAATGTATTATTGAATGACTCTTTTCTTTGTGGCGTACATGCATATAAAAAGGACCGAAAATTAAGAGCATACCTTGACTTCTTCATATGACTCAAATATGATCGTCACAAATATGTTCAGAACAGCGTAGATAAATAGTGTAATGAAGACGTAGAGGAATACTCTCGAAAATAGGAAGATGCCGATTCCCTTGCTGCGATCAATGATGGAGAAGGTGACAAACATATCATCTCCATTAATGAGACTAAATAGGCACTCGAGAGTTGAGATGAACGAGCGGAATTTCATATTAAATGGACCCAAAATGACCCAAGCGGGAAAGACGAATGCAAAGTAGAGGACAAGTGCACAGGCTAGGAAACGGAAGAGGCTGGGAACACAACGTTTGATGGTTCTTAGGAGAAGCTGAAAGAGAAAGAGAGTTACAACGCTACTCAAACCACTTCAGTAGGAGAAAGTTTACAAAATTTATATCTTACGTGAGTCTGAGATGAGATCTCAATGTACCGAAGAACACTTAGCCATACTAGCAGGGTTCCTAAGCCAAGCATATAGGCTAACTCAGCGTAGGCATCCAGTATCTAAAACCAAATAGGATAGAAATTGTGAAAGGAGTTATAGGCTCTCATGAGACGTAGGGAGTTATTAACGTACATGACCATTGAAGACGAGTTTTGAAGCTGAACCGCCAATAATTAACAAATCACCCTTTATAATACAGAATGTCCAAGGGCTCACAAATTGGTAAAATAGGCCAGACAAGCGGATCCCATAGTGTTCGGAGAAGAATCTTTTTGTTCTCTAAATCAATGATTATAGGAGTTAGAGATACTGCATGTCTTGAATTCAGGTCAATAGGGCAATTCGTTAAATTGAACATTTATTATAAAGCAGATAAGAAGGCAATTACTTTCCATCTTTAATTTAGGAATTAATAAAAGAATGCGATTTTGATCATGAAAAAACACCCGAAATTGTTTGAATAGTTAAAATAATTTTAGAAATGGGAACGATCCACCTTAGAGTGGTGTGGTTTAAGCTTTACGCACAATTGAAATTCAAATTTGTTAAGTAAAATCTTTGCTTATTTAACCTGAAAAGAATGGAATTCGATGGTGTGCAAAATGGCATAAGACATAATTTTATTGACAAAGACCTAATGGAAGTGGATTGATAAATTATCACAACTAATTAACTCTTAGATTGGCAAATCACCACTTATGATAGAGACCAGAAATTCAACTTCGATATTAAATCCTTATTTTTAAACTTACCTCAACTGAATAATCGTCGACTACTATCAGTTATTTACAGCAACTTGGATAAGACATCAAAGCAGAACTTAAAATTTGCCTATAGAGCACACTAACTCTAAATAATAAGTCGAAACATTATTTGACACTAATTCTAAAACAAATTCCATTTGAAAGAACAAGAAACAAATATTGCTTCGATAAACAATGCCAATTAACTCACTCGCCACAATTGAATACCCCGTATAATCGAAATTATGTTCATAATAAGTGATATAAAGGAGACATTGAAGGCCAAAAGGTCTACAATCAAATGAGCAATCCGTCGGGAAGTCAGAGATTCATCCTGCGGAGAATCATTTACTGGGAAGCAACTGACTTCAATAGGCTCAGATTTTAGGCTTACAACTATTTGCCCTGTTTGGCCTTCATTTTCAAGATTAACCTGTAAATAGAAAAAAAGTCAAGCAATAGATTATCACCCTACTTAAATACAATAAGTAGAATTGAAGGAAAACATACGAATATAGTGAATTGAAAGCATTCAATGCTCATATCCCAATCCGAATGATGGATAGGTGGCGATAGGAGTGAGAAATTGAAAGAAAATCGAGCAAATCTGAAATATTAGAATGGAAGGCCAAGTTTAAAGTATAAGAATACTGAGCAAAAATTTGCACCATTAATTCATTTCACCTTGAAAAGTCTATGATCAAACCATGTGAATTCAAGAATGCCTCGGTGTGATTCCAATCATCAATCGCTTTCGGAGGTATGTCTGCCAAGTTGAATGTTCGACATGCTACAAAATGAGGAAAAGCTACTTATTTAAGCAAATGAGGTAGATTACTTTTAAGTGATATCAATGACTAACTGGAAGAAATTTCCCCTGTAGAGAGAGCTCTTGACCGAGAGATTTCATCAAACTGCACAAGGCAAGCTGTAAATGGACGGCTTTTGTTGAAAAATGTGTAGCCGTTCAGAGATACAGCCTCAGTACGATTGTACTACAATAGATTAATCCATTTAATTGCGATTACCTTGTGACAAAACTATCACAGTACTTAGTTGGATATGAAGTAACCTCAAACATTCACTCACTTGGCGCATAGCGAATCCCAGAGCTTCATAGAACTCCTCGTGGGAGTAAAGTGCATAAGCCCCTGAACTGGGTGGATAAGGCAGGGTCTCATACTGCGGATCCCATTGATGCAGGAAGAGATGCTTGAAGGCTATCTGCGCCCTTTCTCCATAACTCACTCGTGTAGAGGAGAGGGAACCCAGAAGGAGAAGCTGTAAAAGAAAGTTAGGTAGAGGGAAACCTTGGAGCTTCCCAGGCTTAGTAGAATTCAAATATATCTCAATTTCTACATAACCGGATTTAAAACTGGAACTAGTGTGACTGGTCACTCTAGTTGATAAGTGTACAGAACTTCATTAATAAAATTTATAAACAAATGCAATAGCTACCGAGCTCGTGTAGAAAAGCCTAAGGTGTTTTCAGAGGGGGGGGGGGAGAAACATAACTTCTGCAATTCCTTCTGTTGACTAGAATTCATCACAGTGTGCTAGGTCATTTCGCTAACATGAAGTGAGTTTGTCATCTATGATCTCAAAAGCAAGAGCCCTTAATGGCTGCCTCATCGACGCACAACAAGTGCACAAACAAGTGTATTTTAAGGTCTTATGTTTAATGTTTACATTAGTGTTGATATTACCCTACCAATGGTGTTTATTCCATCTTTAACGGTAAAACCGCAAATTCCGTTTAAGAACCTGGTCTCTTAAATTCACAAGATAAAGACCAATTCTTCTTCGCTATTAAGCATGACCTCGTGACTAGACATAAAGGAAGTTTTGCATAAGGCTTTCACATGCAGTGCGTGCCTGATTGCTGGATCGTTCGAAGCCAAGCTGATGTGCAGAATGCGAATTTTGAATTAGAAATTATTATCAATAGTGAGCAAATGAAAATGGCCCGAAGACACTTACTACCAAACTCTTACACATCAGATAAAATCGCATTTTGTTACCCCTCCTCCAATTGCAATGATCGCATTCTGTCCCGTGGCCTCGGAATTGTAAACAATTTTCATTCAAACATGTTTACCTGACACATCAACGCACGTTCAATGGCTGTTAATACAGAATAGTAGATAATTGATGAAATGGCATAAATCAATATTACTGCATTATCCTACATCATCTAAGATAGAACTTGAATTCGTATACCTAGAAAAATATAACGCCAAGTAAATAGTTTAAATTAAGACTATTTATTTATAAATATCAATTAAAAGCAATTTAATTATTAATGAGCCCAATATTTTAGTTAGAAATATGGAAATGAGAAATAAAACGCATTTAGAAGTAAACAGATAACAATAACAAGCTTAAAGCGTTATACATCATAAACATTCGTAACTCGATGAAACTAAGTGCATGTGCCCTTTTACGAAACGTCAACAAGATGTGTAGTTAAAAATCAGATGGAAGCGAAGGCCATGTGCGTTGAAACTGTAATAACCATTTTGTCGTAGAGAGTACACCTCCACCAAGGCTGATCAAAGGAATCTCAAGACCAAAAGAACATGATGAAAATGGCGATCGTGTGTGCAGAAGCCTCTTAGCCAATAAGAAATCGATTTTAACTAACATGACTGTTAATTGTTGGCCCACGTTGGCAATTAACTGCTTTCAACCAATATGTACTATGTTCACGAAACTGCCGAAGCTGATTCGATAATTTTTTGAAGATTCTATACAAGAGGAGAAGTAAGATTTAGCCATGGGCTTAATTATGTAGAAAAAGATAGATATAGGATATGAGGATTGTAAAATAAAATATTAATAGCAAATAGAGGAAAAATAATCTAAATTCTGAAGCAAGTTTGGAAAATACAAAGTGTTGGAGCACCCTAACAGTGGAATTCGGTCGATGTCGCCTCGGTAAATTGAATTTTTCAGTCCCTAAGATGAAGCCATCACTCAATAAATTATCTCCATTATCACAAACTACTTCA